CGCAAGACGCTGGCACGGAAGATAGATATAACAGATACGAACTCCTATGCATGACGCAAATGTCGCTAGCCAGAATCTCGCTTGAACGACAAGTTAGATCTGCTTGTGCATATGGCAAACAGTTCCCTTCGAGTTTACGAAGCTACTAGACAACTATTCATTATTAGCTCAGGTTAAATTTCGACACTGACAGACCGCCAATGTTGTGCTTCGTATGCATTTACCGAAAAAAAAATATAGCGATCCAAATATGTTTGTAGCTCGGTAAGAAATTATCGGAAGTATACTAATTTTCTGTCAGAGTTATAGGTGTACGTATCAGCGCGGTCAATTCGATCTGTTCATGCAGGAGCTTAAAAAACGTATACCTCTAAAAAAGATGGTGTCGTAGACGCTGACCACATCGGTTGATTGGTAACAAGCTTTGCTCATAAAGTGGTTGTTATACAACACACAATTTCCGCAAAAGAGATTAAAAAGAAACACCAATTAGAGTTGAAATGCAGGCGGAATTATATTTAACTAATATTTTGCAAGTGGTAAGGCAGACTCATGTCTCTCCTCTTATTTCATAGCAAATGCGGTATCTGCTAGGTGTATTATTCAATAATTCTCCTGCCGCTAACCTGAATCATGCCTCATTATGTCCTTATCAGCGAAAATTTCCCTCATCCTCTGTCTTATGTATGTATACATATCTGGGCATACGTGCGAGAATCGTAATCGTTTAATAGAGTTTTCTTTCTCAATAGAAAAAAATCATACAGTTTTCTCGAATAGACCTAACGCTGATTCATTTTAAGCGAACCGTGATCTGCTTGGTAACAACGTTCTAACCCCAATAACGATGATCCCAGCGACGAAGCGAGTCTAAACAAATAAGAAAACATTTTCGTCTATCGCACCCTAGCTCAGGTATTCGATAAGACTAAAACATAGAGCCATTTAAAGTAAAGCCACCTGGACAGTGCAACGTAACAAGTAGACATGCCCTTTAAGAGCAAGTATCTGTAGAAACCGCTTTTTACAATCGTTTAACTCGATTCTTGTCGCAGGCTACTTTCTATGCGTTTTTGTAATTAGACGCATTGTACTGCTAGACAAGGCCATTGCGATCTTTTAGATAAATCAAATAATGAACCGCAACGACGAGAAATGATTTTGTATTCAGTGGTGATGGCGCTGTTGTTAACTTACCTGAATGGGTTCTCTGACTGCCCTGAAGAACCGTCATTATTGTGGTGATTTTGCATGCAAATGGATATGTGTATCAGTATTTTCTTGCGGGAACGTACCTTTTGATAAAGTTTTGTCGGAACACGGGTAAAACATTCATTTTTATGCCAATGAATGAAACTTTTGGTAACATCTGGTGATACCGCTAGCTGTAAATGTCATTGCCTAGTGAGGTAACATGCCTAACCTCTTAACCGTTTGAAGGTTCATTCGTTTTTTGGACGAGACCATACCACAGGCTTCGACCGAAAAGAGCTCAAGTACTGTAGAAAGGCTTCTAGCGTTTGCAACTTTCCAGACTCTAGATGCGTCTGATTTAAGGAAAAGTAGTTTACGGCTAGCCATAATGGTTACTTCTTGCTGGCCAGGTTCAGTAATCATATTTTTTTTCATTCTAGCCCTATATAAATGGCCTTCTCTCAAAGGAACTGCTATAAAATTTATTGCGACATATTCTTTTGTTTTGCTTTATGTTTTGTTATATGCATAAATTTCACTAATACAAAGGAGACTTTAGCCTCTATACATAACAATGATAAAAGAAAACGGAAACTACCTTCTTCATGTATACCTTTAGCCATTATTACACAGCGCCATAAAGTGTCGCGGCAGAAACGTTGTAATATAAAGCTCTTATAAAATAATCGTAGGGCTATTTTTTCACAAACGCAATATACTCAAAATATTTTTCATGTCTTTTGAACCGAAATCAGGTCCTCATTCTACCCATGAGTCTCGTCTTTGCACGACGTAGGACGTCTAGTCTTAGTACGACTACTGCTGACTATGGTTATTATCGGAGCTGTATTGTTCCACAGTTCCTATATGCGTCGATACCGTACTAACGAGACACAACACGTGGTGCTGTTGGAGAGCGTAAAATGAAAGGGACCCTTATAAAAGTTCCCTCCCTATTAACTGACAGTTCAGAATGAAGCACTTTACACACACAGGACATGCTGGCACATCCACAAAGGCATAAAGCGGCCTAATGAACTACTCCTGTCTTTTACAACAGGCGCCCCGAAATACCCCCTTTCGGTCTTCCAGCTTTTGCCTCCTTAGGTAGCTTGGAACATTACTTTGCAACTCAGCACCCTTCACTGGTCGCTGCCTTCATTCTGTGATACGTATGTACAATATATACGCTTTCCATTCTCGGGTAGGCGCATAAGCTTCAGCAGGCCGGCAAAGTCGGCCAGCATGACGATGCAGTCTGAATAACCCGCACCAAGGCTAAGCTATCCAAGCTTTTACATCGACAAACAGAGGTCTCAAACAGTTGCCGCTGTGTTATCATTGTGATGTAGCAACTCACCGCACCCGCGTTCGTCCCAACCGTCGTCAGTCATTACTGCATGTTTAGACAATGATGTCTTTCATTTATCGTACTGGCCGAAAGTAAAAGACCTTCAACCAGAGTATACTGCAGACTAAATTCACCTCGATGCATGTGCGCCAATGTGTCCGTGTAGCTGAGAGTGTGTGGATATCTTCGCCTGCTTGTCTTTGATACAGTCGCCTATTCGTCCTTCTTCTCTGAGACCTAGTCCCCTCTACCCCGATGTCCTGTGCCACTGAGACCACGCTAAAGTTAGCTCTGTTTCGAGTGTCGCCGACGTCCGTGTTGTCAGTCGCGCAGACTTCATTGCGCGACCCGCTATTCGTGCCGAATCATACTGTCGCATTGGAAGAATGAATGAAGTCGAGAGAAAAATAGAAAAGTTAGGAAAAATTGTGCATCTCTCAACCTCCCTGGCACATCCCCCCTTGGCACGATTTTTCTCAACAGGGAGGGAGTGACTATCATAATAGTAGGCTCGTGAGCACTTCCTCTCTGAAGAGGATAGTAGCCGAATTGGAAGTAGGCTGGATTGTGCCAGTACTCTCTAGAAAAGTCTATCTCTTTAGTAGACTTAGATAGATGGGCCAGTGAGCTAGATTCGGCTAGAGGCACTCTATTCGCAGGCCTTTGACGTCGTCTAGCACTAGTATGTACGTCGCTGTCGTTATGTGAATGTACCTTTTGGCGCTACTCAAACCCAGCAGCACTGCATATGGGCAGCCTGATGGCCTCCTCACAACAGCTGGGAATGAGTCAAAAGGAGGGGAAGCAATCGTCATCTACGAGATAAAGACCACCCATTTCAAAGACGGTGTCCCAGCATAAGAGAAAAAGCAGACTTCTTTGCTATACAGTTCCGCTAGCTCTATGCAGTTCCTCTCATAAAAGCAATGAAGCCTATCGTTTATGGTTCGCTGACGGGGGTTGGCAAAGAGAACTCACCACGGTGAACATCGAGGATTATGTTTACCAGACAGATGCGAGAACCTCAAATTAAAAAGCGAAAACGTTCTACATCTTCAACTAGGAGAAGCGCGTCGCTAGAACCCAAAATAATTTAATTCCAGGCCAAGAAACGAATAAGTAAGGGGCGGCAAAAAAGCTCCTTATTTCAGAAGCGTACTTCGGATTTGTTGTGTAGAAGAATTGTAAATGTTTTCAGAACAGGTTTAGGTCGAATTCGTACTCGTGTTCTTACATGACCGAAGTTAGAGTTTAGAGCTAATCGTAGTTTGGCTCGTAGTTTTAGAACTATAATAAGCATAATAGACCGTGTGATGAAGAACAAAGGCCTTTGGTCTTCTTTATTTCCAATCCAGTATGGCACGCCATCAGGCAGATATCATCCTTTGCAGTCAGCGAAGGTAAACCTGTTAAAGCACTGATCGTTGTGGTGCATATTACGAGGCTTTTATACGTGTTCAGTACCGCAACTGCGCCTTGTGACGTCGCTCTAAAAAAAATTTGAGTACCGAATTGAGCAGGCGATATTATTCCTGGTACGGCTCTTTTTCTTTGCTATATTTGTAACTGTAACAAACGGCTTATAAGAAAAAGGACCGAGTCGTGGTGGACCCTATAGATCACAGTTAACAAGCCTTTGATTTAGGATCTTATCTTTTCTGTATATTAGCAGCGGAAAGCGTTGGGCTTATACCCATTTAGCCCATTCCAGAATCGCTTCGGAAACACTCCAAGCTAATACTAGGTACGGATATATACATATATATGTGATGTTTTTCTAAAGCATACGTCTCAGCCAGTTGACAATCATATAGTTCGCATGCATATGCCATGTCCGTGTTACTTTCAACAAAAAAAAAAATACAATCAATTTTGCCTTCAACTAATCCTACTTCTAAAATAAGCTAAAATCACGCCAAAAGGTCCAACTTTGTTCTCATGCCAGTTTGCTTGCAGCGGAACTCATCGAACCATCGCCGGGACAAACAGTGCGCAAAAATAATAAGTACTACGATTATCAAGGCAATATACAACGCTTAAGATACTAGCCATTTCGATACAAGAATACAAAAAATAACACCCCAAGTGTATAGCTATACACATATAAACAAAGAAGCGCAAAAATACGATCCTATACGTACAACATAAACGTTCATAAGATATACAGTAAATCTAGTTTTCCTCACGCGAAAAGTTACGTACGCGACTCCAGCGATGGCAATGATCAAGACGCGAGTGCCGTTGACGGTCACAGAGGTGGCCTGCTGTTCCGCTGATTTCCGACCCGTTTCGGAATTGACTGCTTTTTAAAATGATTGATAAATCGCTTTCGAACGCTTCGGGAACGAGAGGATCCACCCAGCGCCATCATTTGCTAAATGTAGATATTTAAGAATCAAAACTCGACGGTAAACACTATCAAATTTATTTGACAATAGTAAATTACATGCTTTCAAAACACAGATCGCATCATCTCTATAGAACATGAGGCTCGCCATACACCATAATATATAGAGTAGACCTTGGAATAGGCTGTACTAAATAAAACTATTGCTCTTTATAAATCTGAGCTGACGGATCTAAACCACCAGTGTCTCAGACCTATATAAAATCACGCGCTATTCTAAAACATGAATAGAGGCTAGGCGATATTTACAGCCAGTTTTGCACGTAACGCGTTCGTATAACTTAGCGATACATACTTATGCATATATATATATATATACGTGCATCTTTTTCAGTGGCTATCTATGCGCACCCCGCCTAAGCCTTTCGTTCTGTCAGCTGTTCAGTTTCATCTGTTTTACTTGTTCGTATAGGAGAATGAAACTTGAAGATGCCCTTTTTTTCGTTCTTGGATATTCTGATGCTTGTCGTGATAACAGTGTTAGGACTGATGGAGGCAGACCCAGCGAGGAATGACTCATAGTTAGTTTACTGCGTATCGAATCCTGCGAAATTTTTCTAGTGCCGCTTTGTTTTTTTTCTAACAGATATTTTCGGTCTCATTGAAAGTTAATCTACTTTGTGGAACAGTCTACTGTAGCGCTGCTCCACATACGCAAAGATCGCGATTAGAACATAAATCTAAATATTTCGACTATATAAGAAGAACATAAAATTAGGAAAAGTATACAAAAATCAATAATGTTCCAAACGGGTCATGAATTCTACCCTTGGTTAACCTTGCTACTTGAAACTTTAGTGATGGAAACAGCGATTTTTTTTTTTCAGAAATAACTTACATATGTTGGACTATTGTATTTACTAATTTGTAAAACTCAGAAATATATGAATTTAATTGTGTGTTGTTACAAAATGCAAGTTATTACGTAAGGCGTTTTCGCTTTCGGGGTTATGCCTCCGGCCTGAAATCAGTAATCCTAAAAATTCTCATTCTCGGTTAACTCGAATTCAGAATTTCGAATTTACACTGCCAATTCAAAATTCTAATCTATCCCAACTGATTTGAATTGAATTGTAAAAACAAACAACTCTATCTAGTACAGTTACTTGAGCTCTGTCCTGAAGTTGTCTATATTGATCGCGTCGAACTGTTAATATATTCAGTACTTACACAATAATAATAATAATTGTTATTATTCAGTAGCCGACAGCTGTTAGTCCATTTTAAATTTACAGTCAGTACGACTATACGATTTATAGTCAGTACGACCATTCTTGACATACAGCCTCTATCGTACGGCAGATTTGGCTGGCCTTGGTCCCTTCGGTCAAGCCCTTAAACAAACGTTTACCAGGTCGTCCAACGTATTTCCGCGACGTCTGCGAGGTCCAGAAGGGAGAAATGATGTTATCCTATTTAGTGCAACGAACAGCGCTTGGCCAGTGACCATTTACAAAGCTATTTTTGCACGTACCCCAACTAATGTTCTCACTAAGCCAAATACTATAACTAGTCAGCTATAGAAATCATTGCCTGTTTTGCACCTTCCTAGTACAAAGTGACAGCTTCGTCGGAACAAATCGTCATTTCAACGGCAAGCTCCCTCGAGTTCGAGGCTTGGAACGAAGTAGCTTGGCGTTTCCTGTTAGAGAGGAAAATAAGGGAGTTTAACTCTCATAGAATGCAGAGAGCAAGAGCAAGCCTTATTTAGTATTACATAGGCTTGCGCATGGGAACCCCACACACTATCAGCACGCTTACCCTATCAACAGTTTCAATAGTTCAATTTTACCTTATCCTTCAACTCAAACTATAGGTTCACCTTTGTGTCTTTTAGCTCAGGCTTGCTGGATCGTTTTCTTCTGTGCCAGATCTCATTGAACAGATCCTCCAGCGCGATCTCTTCAGGGGTCGACGCATCCGGCATTACCGCTACCGTTAATACTAGTGCCGCTTTTACTATTAACATCAATTTGAAACGAAGGACCTGAAAAAAGGGGGCGGGACTACGCGACGAATTACTATAGGAATGAAGATAGAACAACTGTCGTGGCACAGCCGTATCGTGGCGCCGTTATAGCCAGTAATACGGTGCACTCAGTACGATCACTGAGCTGTATCACGAAAGATGCTGCTGTTACTGGAGAAATAAGAAAATACCGAAACTATTACAATGTTGTCTCAATGTTGCCTGCTTCATTAGGCAATTTCTGTAGATGGATGTTGGATAGATTGTGGTTTCAATAAACCGCTTTTGTTCAGCGCGGACAATGGAACGTTCGTGTATTAGTATGGGGTGCGTAAGACGTTGCCGGCTGATTTCGTTCCTCGCTTCATGTGGCCGGGAGCTGACAAAGGCATTCAGCCTGTCGAAAGATAAAATCAGCAGTAGCTTGAGGCGTAGCTCTGGAGCGTTTCGTAAAAACTTACTATAAGTTGATTACGGCAACACTCCGCAAGTGTCATCTTCTCTGATGAAATTTATTTTTTTATCGAAGTAGCTATTGTGTGAATATAAAAAATTGGCGCATCTGGGGCTCAGAGCGTCCAAAAATAAATGTCAGACAACTGCTTCATTCGCAAAACGTAACTGTGTGCCGCGGTTTGTAAAGCGAAAATGTGACTCGGCCCTTTTCTTGGAAAATTATGGTGGAACGGTAGCAGCAGTCAGCGGCGGCTTTCAGCGTAACATGTCGCAGATTTTTTTGCGGCCCGAAATTAGGACAGCAAACGCAAATAGCATTTGATTTTGGCAAGATGGGGAAACTTGCCACACAACGCAGGGAACAAGCAATATGCTTGAAATGTTGTTTCTAAGTCGACTGATCTCGATGCACGGCAATGATATCGAGTGACCGTTCAGACCCTGTGATTAGATTCTTCTGGATATTTCCTGTAAGGCTATAAGAAGGACAGACTCTGTCACACACCTAAACCCACGGTTGTATTTTCTATTCCGGAAGCATTCAAAATTGGCATGAATATTATGATAACAGAAATTCAAATTAAAATATTGGTTTAGTTTTACGATGAAAACTACCTGCTGTTGCCTGCTTACTCACATGTACATCGTATTCAAAAGTGACGCCTTTCTAAATATATTTCTCTGTTTAGTTCTCATTGCTTTTCGGTGCTTTTACTTATGGTCTTTATGTCAACAGGTTACCGAAATCACTTTTTTTAGGTATAACGTGAAGGATTTGCCGCGTGGAGTGGGAGTGGGTCCTATTGGACTTGTCTGCGGTTTTTCCAACAGAGCAGTGAAAATGCATTGCAGTTATATAATCAGCTATTATTGTATTTTTCTCTATTTTTTTTTTTTCTTTTCTAGTCGTTCATTGCTAGTTTTACGAATTTTGAGATTTAAATTAGCAGCGTGCTTGTTACTGGTGGCTACTATGTTAATGAACTCAGAGAGACGTGCATTAATTACCCAGGCCACGCCACCCCCTCAACGTACAACCCTTTGTCATTTACAAAAACTATGAAAATTCCTATAGAGATAAGTGCTGAACATGGTGCCATAGAGGGTTGCGTATGCTACTAGACGCGTTCAGATAAAATTTCGCAACCCCTTATAATTTCGTGCCAAGTTAAGGATGCGTTGCCAAAGCAATGCTACATGTTGGAAAAGTAACACCGCTTCTCAACATGCTCAAATCGACATAACGTTGAGTTAGAATACGGTTACGTAACTTGCTAATACGTACCTAATTTGCTACGTAACGGCTTCCAAGATCTGCGCAACCTTGTTATCAAATGCGAAATGTTAATTTAACGTAAATGGACAGAGACATATGATGTCTTTAATGGGATCTTACTTTGGTACAAAATCGAGCTAGAGCCACGAAGTTCGCATTGAGATGTGACCGACAACTTCAATATTTTTGATTCTTACACGATATTAGATATATCTTTGTTCAGTATCGAACTGTTTTTGATCACTAAACAGAAGTACGCAAAACCATTATAGTGGTTGTCTATTTTGAAGGATAAACCATTATATTAACAGGATAAATTCAGCCTTAAAGCCGTTAGATGTGTTTGAACTTCCTGGCTGAGGACAGGGGCTAGACGTGATTTCGCAAAAGTGTCCTAGAGTCATGTCAGCTCATAGAATGTGCGCCTTTCTAACTGGATACAAAAATGCAGGCTGTGTGTGTGTAGCTCTTTTGAACTTCATAAGATTGCATGATTTCCTAAATGCTCGACAATGAAGTTATACGTACTAGCCCCTTTTAATTTTCCGGCTCCGTACGTCATTATTGATGTTTTTAGGACGACTGAGGTAAACAGCAAACACGATAAATATTCTTGGTTCCTTCTTGACATGAACGTTGCAGGCTAACAAAGCATCAGGTTGCCAGCTTCCACAGGCTTCATCCGAAGCCAATTTCAACATTTTGGTTTCTTCAGATTTTCCAATTCAACAACCAACCCAAAACCTATTTCGTATCAGAAACACAGCGAAGAGGTGGTAATAACCAATGCGTAAAGGAAGGCGGAAAGGGAACTATTTGCTACAAGTGTTACATTCATCAAGGCCGTTAGATGCTGGGCAGTTTGGATTGCGAAGCCAATTTTTAAAAGCATCAGCTTACGGCTGAAGGCCTTTTCCATTATATTAGCCAGCCTCAAGGCGATTTTCTAAGGTAATTGAAAAATGTTTTACGGATAATAAATGGATACAATTTCGCACAAAAAAAACTCCTCCAAATAAAAAGTAGTTAACACTTCCCAAAGGAAACTTAGTTGTCTTTTCGTATTTGAAGCGATGGGTGGAGCTTAGATTGATTTCGGTAAAGATTCTGTTTGTGACAAACAAATACTTCATACCTTTTCTAAACCTAGTCCGATATCCGGGAATGGCGCCTAGAATTTTGCGAGGGCGGTGCTGTATTGCGCTCAAGATTGATTCTATCAGACTGTAATTCACAGGGGTGCAATTAAAACTATGACCGTTACTTAAAGCACAGGTTTGATAAAAATGTTTGATGCGATCTGAAATATTCCCTGGGTAAACCTAGCTTCAATGGTCCGAATTGCGTCTCGTAGAGCTATTGTCTCTCGAAACGTCAAAAGCGAAACCTCTTTTAGCAGATGATATAACGGCAATGTATATTTTAGAAAAAAAAATTAAGAAACAATTAGTCAAGTGATCAAATTAAGCCCGATAGCACTACTTGTCCTTGTATTTTTCCTTTGCTTAGACGCTTTTTAGTTATACTCTTTACCATATTTCGTGTTCTAAATTTGAAATCTTGACGGCTTCGGTCATACTGTAGTTGTGAGCAGAAGTTAATATAAGTACGAAAATTCTCACATATTGGAATTACAGTGGTTGTGAGTATGGTTGTGTTATGGTAAGGATGCGGCACCTTGGATGACTGCGCACGCACAGACGCTACTTCACCATCTGCTTCATTGATCAAAACGTTTTTCCTCATTCTTCCGGTACTAACTATTATTATTATTAGTCAACAGACTCGAATGCACGTGAATAGATAGCACGATTGAGCAAATACTGCTAAATCGATGTGTTACAACAGCACTTCTTTGCGTGCCTGAGAGCTTATTCACGTATCACCATTGGCGTCAACATGGGTGAGTGGTATTTACGCTTTGTCTAGTTTATATACGCGCCATTTTACTGAGAAGTAAAACGGCCACAGCGACCGAGTCAAATAAACGCTAATAAATGTGCTCCGTACGAAGCACATGCATGTATGAGACCATAACGTGATCAAGCACACAGGAACCCTTGATAGCGACAGCGTTGATTACGTAGTCCTGGATTGGACAGGTCGAAGCCGATATTTGAAACTGGAACGACCCCAGCAGCTAGTTCGGCTCTCGAGAAAGTTCGTAGCCGAAACAAAACCTGTAACCATAAGCGGCGGAGCTGAAGTTGCTCCTTTAAGCAGGAGCCAATTCATCTTTCTAGAAACAAATCTTTGTTTTCAGCTTTCATCCCATTGCTGCGAAAAGCGCCGAGAGTGACACAATTGGTAGTGGAACTCCGCAATTTGCAAAAGAAACTCACAGGCTAGGGACATGCCGGAACTTGTCAGTTGTATTGAGGGTGGGGGTCCGCCTTTATATAGAGTACACTGCCTTTTTAGCAGGCCGCCGCCGCCGCCGTCGCCGTCAGAGCGACTAAAGCTCATTTCGGAAAACACGCACGTCCCTAAACTATGAGTCCTTTCGGTCAAAAGCAATTGGGGCAGTAAGGGGTGTTCCGACACAATTAACAAAAAGGGAGAGAGACCTGAGATAATACCGAATGGGTGCCAAGAGTCTTAAAATACGATTCTATTGGAGTTGCTTAATTTTCCTGCCCTTAGTTTCTAAGCTAAGTGAGACAGGCAATAGGGCGCCGCTAAGTCGGGCCACGTTACACAAGGATTACGCCACAGTACTCCATATGCGAAGTTCATATGATAGCAAGTCGTAAGTTGAATTGTGCTCATTAGGCAGAATCACTATGCAAAACAGAAAGACGGAGGGAGAAGGGGGTATGCGGCTCGAGACACTTATTTGAGGCCAGATAAAGCAGGCCAGTTTGTTCGATTTGTGTCTTGTCAGACAGTCACGTGCCAGGGCGACTCATACGGACACATGCGTGACTACGAGCCTGTACGTGCACCTCACGGGCGGCATGCTTTTTTAGCCCGTAGTTCACTTCTTACTTACTATCTAATGGTGTATATACGTCGATGTAGAAAAATAGAGGATGTTCACAGAATAGTTACAACGCTACACGTCAAGCAAGCTATAGCATCACTATTTCCTACACTCAGAAATCTACAACCTCTCTAAAAAACCGTACAACGGAAACGCCAACTCTACAAACGTACACATGATTCGAATATGTTGTAAATAGCCATCAAATCATATGTGATTTGCCTACATATATATTATGCATATACAAGCGGAAAGTATTACGTGAACGGAACACGACTGAAGTCTATCCGATAAGAGATGCAACACATTTATATTTTTCCTTATCTCTTTTCCCACTTGTCTTTTCCTGCCTGTAATATTGCATCATTGTCTGTAGGCTAGCGGACATGAACATTCTATATTAAAGAGGCAGCGGCGTCGGTAGGTTCCGTTCACTACAATAGGACTACTATGCTCCCACGTGACAATTTTCCCTGGAACATTCTAAAAATGACTTGGCCGGCAACTCTGCCGTACGATGGAAGCCGATCATGGCAGAAGCACTAGTTGACCTTAAATCAGCAAATTGAACTTCCTGTACGCGAAATAGAACTAGTCGAACATGTCTCCTAATTTGTAGATCAACTCCACCGACGGCTCTGTAAGTGACGCTAAAAAATAAACAAATTATTCTATCTTACTATATAGTTATTGGGAATTAAACGGCGTCTATTGAGAGAAATCATTTTGTGCATTCATTCTTTGTGGGGCAAAATTATTCATGCCTTTTATAACGCTTAGCTTATGATCGTAGGATGTCACTAGGGGCGATAAATGCATCCTGCCATCAAAAAAAGGGAACTTTTCAAAAAAGAAACCTTCATCTTTTGCCCATTGTTCGAAATTGGTTTTTACATAGAATCGCTGACACGTTCACCTGAGTTGCGCACACCTTGCTTCGTGCACGTCTCGCGTCCTGCTATATTTGGCAGTCAGACAAAACTATTAATGCATGTCTGAGTATTGGAAGTGTGTGCAGTAGATCGCATAGTTACAGCATAAAATTTTATAATTATACAAGTAACTTCTGTAGGCCTACAAAGGGATAATTTCAGTAAGGCACGAAACTACTTTCGGACCGAAAATCGACCCGCAGGTTGCCGTTGATTTAGTTATGGAACAATAGTCGTCTTGAATCGATAGCGCAGCTGCAGGTTCTTAACGGTTTGGCAAGGAATCGTTCGAACGGACACGACGGGCGTTTGTTGATACCATATTGATGACGTTGCTTCGTGCACCGGATACCCATTTTTAGTTTGTGCAGTTGTCGCATGCCCAACAGAAATGTAAATCTCATATTATGAAGAAATAAACATCTGAAAGATAAAAAGTACGTAAAAGTCTCGTTTTGGAAGACATCAGCTAGTCGTTTCGAGCTTATGCTGTCCTCAAAAACACATGAAGACGTGTATTTGAATGGCAATAATTACTATGTAACGGAGTGTGCTAGCCAGATACAACTTAAATTGTCACAACGTTTGTCACATCCCTCAAGCACGCTGAAGACTGTGAACATTTCGTGAACGACACAGATCCCTTATTCTCATGGAACTTCCTAAACGACATCTGTTAAGGTCAAGGGCCAGAGGTAAAAAAGTGCATAGTCACTAACTTGTCCGTAAAGGTCCGAAGGGCGAAGAAGTAGGTGTAAGACGTATATGAGACAAAATATTCGTACATGATAGTTGTAGCACGGCTAACGGTAATTAAAGTGTTAATTTTTCTATATATATATATATATATATATATTTTGATTGAATCAAAAGCCATTCGAGAAGCGTACTTTAATAAAATTGTCTTTACTCGTTGTAAGCTAAGCTTCATAAAGGCTTTTCTGAATAATCAGGGGTATGCTGGTAGGGTCTATTGTTCGGCTTGCCTTACATTACAAAGTAGAGGTACACGTACAACGACGCATATGTCACAACGTCAAAGTTCGGGAAAAGGAACAAATTTAGTCAAGTACAACTTCAATAACAGCAAAGCCGGACCCCATCATGCTGAACAATAATAGCTAGGTGTGGGAGAGCTATCTGATGGAATAAGCTCGATAAATTCGATTTTATTGAGATATCTATCCGAGTGAGCTTATGGACGACTTAACTTCAACTATAGGACCTATGATATAAGTTCTTTAATTTTAAAAATGTCGCAGACACTAGACGAACGATTGGACAAGACTAGTGAATATGTTTCTCTAAAATATCTCTCGCTCAGGAAATCGACTAGATGAAAAGTAATCTCCGCTGCCAGTGTAAATAGGCAATTTGGTTTATTTTGGCCTACCGTTTACAATTGTAGGTCTTCAAAGTGCATCGAGATTTGAGCAAGTACAGATATCCTCTAAGACAGGTAGTTCATATGCATACGACTGCATGAATCTGCGTGAATCTTTTAAAAAGCAATTTAAATATCGTTTATACGCAGCGTTAAGCTTATTCGTTGTCTTTCAATCAACTGCCACAACAAAAATGAAGATCGTTTCACTGATCGCCAGTCAGTCATTGAAACGGCAGAAACCAAACAACTTGATCATCTGTATTTCAAAATGCCCGCCACAAAGACCTTGAAAGTCTATGAACCCCTTATTAATCTATGTACTGCCGCCGTTGACTAGCGTATCAGGTGAAGGAAACGGGCTATAACGGAAAACGTTTCGCTTAACTACGTTTCAAAGAAATACAAAACCGTTCGTTGTTTTTCGCATTATCGTTTTTTTTTTCATTTTTATTCGCTTTATTTTCGTTTAGTGTTTTTGGAAACTAGAAAAAACCTTTTGACACTTAGAGCATGGAGGATAATGAACAAAATAGTTGTAACGTGTTTTGCGTTTTTTAACGAAAGCTCTGTTTTCCAGCTGCAAAGTGACGTCAGCGTTTGGAAGCTAAATATGCGTGACTGTTAAAAGTAGTTTTTGATTACAACGTACCCACCAGATGCGAAGATGACGTATACACCCGTGTCGATAATGTGGACATTGCGCGATAGTTTACAGAATGTAACGCATAATGTCCATTTGGGTCACTGGTGTTTTCAAGCTGGGCGGCGGCGGCGGCGCACCATGTTAATGTCCTTGAATCTGTCAAGCAAAAAAAGGCCGTATATGTGCTGGTGAGTAGCCTAACCATCTTCACGTAACTGTAATGAGACAAAGAAAAAGCGCTTCCTATATCGGGCTGTCCTCTTTTGTATGCTGTGGGATATGGTACCTTACAATGACTAATATTATTAATATTATGAGTTTTAGGATTTTTTATAGAAATTGCACATAAATATTTAGTTTAGACCAGTTTCTGCTAGCCTGTTAAAGTCCTACGCAGTGAGTAATACACACAGCTATATTTCTATTAGATAACAGTACTTTAGATCTAGTTTCAAGCGTTCTATCCATGTCAATACGATTCGTTACGAGAAGGCAGCGTTTGGAAATAACTGTTTCCATTCAACGAATCTTAGTATTAGGTATCCTGACTCAACAATAGCTTTGTCACTCGATGGTTGAGTTTGCTATTCGTGCTTTGTACTAACCAAATCAATGCTATGACCTCGCTCAATAGTTTATGTCTCAATAGCAGGCACAAACATTGAGCCTGATGTTACCTAATCTTGGCCAGAGTGGCTGACAGAGATAAGAATATGATTATGAGTTTCCTTCTCTATCCTTTCTGTCGCCTTTCCCTGCCAAGGGAAAAAACAGGTTCAACAGCAGACTGCGGAAACAGCAAATGATGCGATGTCCATAGGGTGATGAAAAAACCGCTTCCCACTTTGCTATTCGGCTCCACAAATGATGTTGACGCCCCAAACATTTCGGGGCTACTGCTTTACCTCCTCCCTACCGTATCATAGCGTTTTTGTCAACTAATTGATGTGGGTTGGAAATTTTCAGATATCCTGAACAGTCAAATAATTGATTTGCTCATTCAATATTAAATCGGACAATTGATCGGTTGAGCGCTGACCGTCAGACTGAGGTCAAGAGGGCAAGCGAAATCTGGATTGCATTCGAGTAGGGAAAAACAATGACAAAAGCCGTTGTCCGGTCAGTGGAACAGCCTGTCTTTTTCTTCTACGTGTCAGCGTTTCAGACAATACGCAAAAGCTTCCCCTTCTAATCTCCCCGAGAACCCACAGGCGAAACGAGATATTCGTCTCTTTTAATTGCGCCTCTGCTTTCCCAGCTTCTTAGATGTTTTCGAGCTGTTGTTTCATATCTCTTTCCTTGTGCTCGTTCGTAATTAGTAATCGCGATTACTGCCAGAGGTACGTCCGCCACATATTGATCGAAGGGAATCGACAAGCGTATCGCATAAATGAAATTTGCCTCAACCCGTGCGTCGAGTACGAGGTTCACTGATGGCGACGTACTGCTGGCGAATAGATCTGCACTATGCTAGGATTTTGAATGGATGCATTCATGTGGAAATAGACGCTAGTTAAAGACGGCATCAGACTATCTTTTGGATAGTTGGATTTCTGTTTACCCATTTTCCTATCAAGGATTGAAGAATAGCAATTGTAACCTTGGCAGCCATTAGCGGATTCATCTACTCATGACGTATCAAATTATCCATCATCGTACGTAAAATATTTTGCATGGGAGTCTACTTTCTAACCCCCTTGTGCCACTGAGGCGCGCACAAGTGTTGTCGAGCTGCTCAAATAACCATATTGACAAGTATTATGTGCTATGTGATGCAAGTATGCCTGCCCCTTGTTCTCAGCAAACAAGTGAAACTAAAACGATTGCAATGTAGATTTAACATAGAACGACTAAGTTCCTCATTGAAAGGGTTGTAAGAGTTTAATACAAAGTCAGCTTTGCTAATACGATACGCAATGCGATGCGCTGTTCTAGCGACTCTACACGGGTGACAAACTTTTTTTTAGCTCAGCCTTTGGCAGCTTCGAAATTTGGTCATTGGGATCTACTTAGTTTCCAGGTAAATCTTCTGCCGAGACGCAAAAAGAGCATATCTGCTTCGTCGGTGCTATTTCCCAAAGTAAAAGAACTTCACTTAGCAAATAAGCAACCAGCCCGTTTGTTGTGTTAGAGATGCGGGACACAATTAAACTATACTGATCGTTGTTCCGAAAGACCATTAGGTATGAACATGTGGCACCTCGAACCCAGCGCCTGATCCTTGAGTTTAGTGCTTACCACGCGATCTTCTGCCCGAAGTCATTATCTGAACCATTCGACCCTTTTCATAGATGAAATAGGTCGCACGCTGGTCGAACAACGATTTCTCTACACACATATAATTGGACTGCGCTTTATTCTAACTGAAGGTCACTTTTGGGCAAAGATTGAAAGCAATTTAACGCTTCTCTGGCTATTACCTGACGCTCTATCCTGTGTCAGTGCCCTTTTCAATTATCTCGTAATGTATTGAGATATCCGGATTGCCTGACGACTGGTACAAGCGAATGACTAGCTCACGCTGATATACAGTTTTCTTAGGATCGATTTTCCAATTAAAAAAGGAGCCTCTTCACAAAGAAGCGCAGTGAATCCATCCGGAGTACGGTGCATTCACAAATCATCTGAAGGGATTAAAGGAGGAGAAAACCGTAATGGCAAGTTTCATTATTGTATAGGTAATTATCTCGCAGCTGGATTTTTATATAAAACCGCTTGTTTCAACATATTAATATTACATATTAATATTACAGTAGAGGCTATTACATAAGGTGTATGTTGGAATTCAACAACATGTCCAACATAGAGTGAGACAATAATATTAGTAAAGATTATACGGGCTTTTCGTACTGCAGATAGTTAGGGTCACTGTTAAAGCGTTAGGTATGAACGCGTCATAGACAACAACGGCCTTTCTTTTTTTTCGTTTCTTTTCCTCGTCTTTCTTCTTCTTCTTCTCCCTTTTAGTAATCAGCGCAGCTAGCAATTAACACTTCCAGCGAACACCGAACAGCGATAATATACAAAACGCAGAAAAGCTTTAAGCTTTTTGGTTAAACGTATTTAGATATTCGAATAGATAAACAATACCAATAGTATTTAAAGATATACAAATCGAGCTCTGAAGACAGTGCCTAGTCGCATGATGTTCCTAAACGCATAAACTTCTTATTCTACAACATGTTTGTTCTAAAATGATCATACATCCTTCGCTCTACTACAAAAAACTTGTTTTATATTTGGATCAAACTAAGGACCTGCGATCCAATCGTGTTTTCCAAAAAAAAAAAAAGAGCTCACTTTCTTGTACCACAAAAAATGCCAATTTTGTTCTAAGAACAGCCCTTTATTGCCCTTCAGCTCAAGGGTAATATTTTTAGCGAAGACTGAATACATCGTTATATATCTCAACGATAGGTGAAACAGAAACAGATGAATACGTATCCATCCTATTATAAAGAGCTTTTACTGCACTAGGTTCCGGTATAGTACTAATAATGTCGGATCTCGGCACTGGAGTAATCGTGACTCCATCGAAAGCATCTTAATAGTCCTTGTTATTTACTATTCTATATTGTCCATATCACATCCAGATACGGGTCATTGCTATTGCTATCAAAGGTAAAAAAAAGCAGAACCCGCTATCATGTCGTGACGGCAGTAACTAGAAACAAGATTAGTTACGTCGGTAGCCGTGGCTGGAGAAGGGCCTCAAAGTTGCTGGTTACTACCAAATGGACCGACATTAACCCTGCATGCAACGGACAAGCAGATTGAGGTCGGTAGGGCCCGTTGAAGTATGTATTATTGAACCGGTTGAAGCTAAGTGGTTTACTTCATTATGGAAAAGACGATAGAGAGAAGGATATATTCTTCGATGGTGATCAGTCGTTCGGAGCGCGCTACGAGGTGAAGCATCACTGCTTTGACCATGCAGCGCTGTTGTCCCTTATCTCCGAGCAAGCAACTCCCCGATCTGGACCCTGGTGAGGCCATTTATATCCCACCTCAACAGGCCTATATCAGGAAAAGGTCAGAATAGTGGAAAGGGTGGGCCTGTCCTGCTGACAGCATGGCCTTGGCATCGCTGTATCAGCCTTCCATCCAACGAAGCAAATGTTTGGTAACGAGTACCTAATTACTACACAGTGATAAGAGGCTGACTATAAATGATGCATTTGTATAGATTCTATAGGACATAGGCTTTTACTTGTAAATTATTATATTGGCTTTAGAAAAAGAAATGAGCGAACCGGTCACTGGGGCGATAAACAGACATACGCAAAAGTACTTTGCGAATAGAGGTAGAAGTAACTGTGTTCTTCATGACTACAAAAGACCTCCCACGTCTCGACCACTAATAATGAATGATAATACTACCCTCCACAAAGATACGCATGTTTGCTGAACGGCCAGCAACAACAGAAACGATCAAGGGCTGAAATAAGAGATACGCAATCGCCTATACCCATCCTTTCTATATCCCAATCTGTAATGCACCAGATAGCGACTATTCAAGGATATACTCCTAGAACACGCATAAGACCATACACATCCCTAAAGGTCTAACAGCCTTTGACGAAACAATACAAAAAAGAGGAAACATCCCATGGTTAGATCGCTGATCTATCTGTCCGTTGCTCTATAGATAGATAGATACCAAGACTCATCTTCCCTCGAAGTTCATATGTTTCGCGACACTTTGCGATGCATATGAAGTACTGGTTGTGGCGGTAGTAGTACCAATTGAACTCCGCAAAAAGCCTCACCAAATTTGTATTTGCTCTTGTTTATGTCGATATCCATGCATGCTCGCGTAGGCAGACTAGCAGCAGTAAGTTCAGCTTAACTTGTCTGTTGTTGAATTCTTACCAGCTTAACTTTAACACTGCTCTGCTAAAGAGGTAGAATATTAGTACAAGTACCGTACGAGTAGCATTATTTGAGCTTTTCTGTGATAACATTCATGGACATATTATTGTTTGCATAATAATAATAATAATAATAGAATATAGCATGCTTAGTGAAAAAAAAATTATCGTTATCGTTATCGTGAAATCTGCAGGAGCCATTGCTTTATAATGTTTACCTATGGAATATATATCGTATATTTATATTAGCCAGCAATGTTTCTGCTAGGGGTGTTATTATTAGATTAGGAAATGTAAATCTTTAATTGTGGTATAGTAAGAGGATGTGAACTAAACTTCTTGTCTTAGTGGAACCCCTTTTCACGGAAAATCAGTAGTTTGTTTACGAAGTGGTCTATGAAGCATAGCCATGGCATTCCGGTCCTTCTAGAAAAGAAAAAGACCACAAACGCTTCATTGCGTAGTTCAATATAAATAACTATTGTCTTCCCTTTACTATATAGTCTAAGAATAGCGAAGAATCACACATATTCCACTTACTAGGTATGTTCGCGGAGTCACGCTTATAAACCTGATTAATCCATCTCTGCTTGCCCGGATATTTTTCAGTCATGGCCATACCCTAGGTCGTACCGACACATAAAGACTACGTACCCATAGGTTCGGAAGAAGAGTGGAAGAACGCTGCGGGCCATAGTGGTCTGTGGTGGCAGCATTAAAAAAACCGGTACATCCTCAACTTTCTCTTCATGCCAGTTATTGTTATTGACCCGCGCGTCAACCAGACACGCATTGCTGGCTGAAAACTAAATGCGACGCTATCGTTCTTCAAATGATGTCATAAATGGAGCACAACTTCTCTCGTCACTTCAAATCTCAACTGGCTATTACGCAGCAGTGCACATAAACTGTACAAGGCACTTCAAACTATCTGTAATACACGCAAGTTTACATCTTGATTATAGTGGGGATTTGGTATGTACGTTAGTAGGCATAGTCGCTCTGCAATTGCCTATCCTTCACTCAAAGATTCTCTGGATTTTTTGTCAGTCTTTATAACATATGTAGTTTAAACTGAAGAGATTGAGATTGTTCTCAGTGTCCTACTTGTGGTTCTGATATGTTTGTACATATACAATTCCAATTTAAGAAATGCGGCCACCAATTGAAATTAAAAAAAAATCGATTTTTGATTTGATAAGCGGATTAAAGCCAATTAATTTATAATTGACAATATCGATAGCGTCCTCAGCTCAACTCTGATAGGTAAATCCTGCTTAGGAAGGCATGTTTTCTGGTAGCATTTTTTTCGGCTCTGAACGGAGTTCGTCGAGTGATAAATGACGCACTTTTATAATAGTTCTGTCTGTGGCAGATTTTTCACCTAAAAACACAATGTCTAGTATAAACATGTGTCTCGTATGTTACTTAAGATTAGCTAAGCCGAACAAGTTTCCGTACAAAGTAACACATCCGTTATTTAGGTAGAATTCAATACGTGTAGCACGATGAAAAAGATTGGCCTATTGGATAAAGCTTTCCCAGCGTTCACAAAGGGTATGTTAGTTAAAAAAACTGGGCCTACCTCGGTGCGGATGCCTATCGATGTCACCTAAAAACCTCTCGTTTGTCTGATGTTCCAACAAAAACCGTTACTTTGTTGTTACCCTGTGCCTACAGGAAGTATACTGTCTGGTCTGGTGAGCAGCAGACCGGGTTAACAGTCCTCTCCTCTGCCAACTTTTAACCTTTTTTCTTCTTTCTGTGTTCACCTTTTTCTCTCTGAAATCACCCTCAACCATTTACTTATCTCACTCACACACGACTTTTGTCAAATGTCGTAAACATAGTGCCCTGTCTACATAGCGTTTCCATCTATACGGGATCGCGATGCGCCAACGCTCCATTAACGACAGAAAGTGTTACGTCGACACAGATAAGATTTTTAAATAAATCGCTAGTCTTTTCGTCCTAGAGCCATCACAGAGGCAGGATGACAGGAAAAAATATCACAAATGATTTTCCTATGGTAATCATATTCTTTACGGTGTTTAGACATTCTATTCTGTTTTACAGTAACTTTTTCCGAAGCTTGTGGCCGCACCTATTTAGTGCAAAAAATAGGTTGGTGCTTCGAAGATGAGCATATAGTCTTGACCCATCACAGTATTTTTTACACAAAATAAACCGGTGGGGAGAAAGATTTTTCATTATTACGCCAGCTACGCTATTATAGGCGTTAATGATTTTCTCTGCGGGATATAATAGCTTTCTCTAGATACCTCTAGAGAATCATTGAACAACAGATCTAACATGTAACGAGTCGGTCTATCATTATTTTTTTAGCGAACAATACATTTTCCGCCGCGAATCCTACAAGCTTGAAGAGTAACCTATTCAAAACAGGAACTCATACGTCGGTCACGACGCCGCCAAGCTGGCCAACGCCCTGGCAACACCTTCGGGCTTTTTCTGGGCGAGCCGAAAGTAATCCTGTTCAAGCTGAAATAAAATAAGAGACAAATATAAGTGAAATGCGCGGGCTTGGGCTGGTTGCCCGCATGTGCTAAGATGCAGGGAAAAGTGAATGGTATGAGACACATGCAGGATGAGGGGTTTCTACCTTGGAATACCTAGGAGAAAATCAGAACATTCTTTCACTTTTTTTTTTGCTTTATTATGTGAGTCTGTACGAAGTGAACCAAATCTTAAGCTATTTGGTTTTGTAGGAAGTGTCAATGGCAACTAGCCAAGGTTCCATCCAAAGGAGTTTTTATGTTCACGTGCTTCCTAAAACCCATGAATTGTCGGAATTGTCTTTTGATGCCCATATTAAGGAATCCTCTTAACATAGTACAATTTTTAATACATTGTAGTACACTCAATTCATTCAGAGTTAGACTATTGCATTTTCCCAAAGAGCCAAATATGTACATCATATTTTTGGGTCGCTAGATGTGGGCGTTCAATTAAAGAGCCATCGTTGAGTCCTACAAATCATACCAAGTATGTTTTGGGCGTCCCATTGCTAGTGTTCTTTGATGGACATAGTTACGAAATGTAGTCTAGTAAAACGCACACCCTTAGCGAGCTCCGTGTTTTTCCTGATAGAGGCAACCAATACACAAATATTGAAATTTGCTGAGCAGTTGCTCGCATTTCCTAACAAAAAAGGCTTATCTGAATAGTACCTGTGGTCTCGTAAAAATAAAACCGCCGTTGTTGTTTATACTGCCGAAATGAGAAGAAACATAAAGAAACGTAATCGGCAACTGAGACAGTATAATTCCATGATGACGAACGTCATAGTTTTAAGTTATGGTAGACTCAAGGTCGACAATTAATCTATGGGTATGGTTTCAGCGGATCACAAGGGCATCCGGCTTCCGAAACAATACTCTCATCTTTTCTTTTTTCTCTGTTAAAAAGATACTCATAGAATTGGTGGCCGCGGCGTCAATAGTCCACGGTGTCTCTCATTTGAAAAGCCAGTAATTCTACGGTGAGGTAATTTAAGACGGTTAATTGCGTTAAGTCTGCGTATGAGTATCAGTGATCTGAGTATAGTCTTTATATTGTATACGTCCGGTGCCTAAGCCGTGAAACATTACGTCAGGCGAACCGCTCTGAACACAGAACGAAGCGTGGATACGGCTAAGTTCGAACCTAGATCACCACGTGCCCTTAAGTTTAGTGGGCAAATACGTTACCTACTGCGTTAATACGGGGCACGTAGTTGCCTTTGTTGGAATCCAAGCAATGACACACTTCATCACATGTTATACTGGAAGCCCGCCTTTGGGGTAATTTCTGATGTCTTAATTACCGAACCTAAAATACGAAAAAAAATTGCCGATGAATATCAAAGAGACAATTAATTGGTCTAAAAATCGTTGGCCTTAAATTAATTTGTCTATATACATAAAAGTATAGTATATAAAAAGTCTTTGTTTACTCGATAGTCGTCTATAAAAAGATGCATGCGTAGAAGGGTTCTTGCTACTCGCCGTTTATGTCCTAGATGAACAAATGTCGTTTCTTTTCAATTTATAAAGCACACTCAACTAACCACCCAAAAAGTTCTCGGAAATGCAAATAGCTGGCCATTCTTCACGAGAATGAAGCTATTTTATATAGGTAGCGAATAGTCAGAGTACGTATTAGAAAGTTGTGCCGCGTCCAGCTATTGCTTAAGGTCCTATTACGTACCCATAATGACGTCCGCCGTAATTGCGTTTCATAATCGCATCTGTTCCGCTACGTGACGTGTATGCAGCACTCTAAACCAATACATAGACCCACACATATGTAAAACATCACTACGCTTTTTTGCAAGGTGAATCGTTTCATCAAAGATGCTGAAGAGGTCTGAATGTCTAATAACGATTTGTGCCTTCAGCTGGAATTCAGTCCTGTTTAACATCGCGGTACTGAACCGGTTACGATATGGCGCAAATACTCCCAAATATACGCATCGCAATAAAACTGCTTTCTTTCCGTCTACGATTTAATGCGCCAGCTAACATTCATATATCTATCCAAACAGCAGATCTACGCGAGAGTATGTATATAGCGAATTTCTCCTCCCCGAACCGGTGGCATACATACGTATTCGTCGCACGGCTCAGACCCACTTCAACAGGCCGAACCGGCAAGCTGAGAGAAACTGCTGAGAAATTACAGAAACAAAGAACGTTCGTACATTACTGTCAGGTGGCACGACCGATACATGACAAGAGTAAAAATACCTCTCGACACGCCTTGCACTGCGTAGCAAGGACCCAAGAGCAGCGCTATGTTCAGGCCACCTCCACGAGGTCTTAGGTGAACAGCGCCACGTACAATGACGACGCCCATGCATAGTCCAAGATCAGCATGCGCCATCTTAGAATGTGCGCTTGAAATGTACTTAGTCATACGTGTGCTTGACTTGTTGCCAAAATGGGAACTTCCGGTAAAAACTTCCGGATAAGCTAAAACATCCATATAGTGTGATATTTGATGTGACGAGGTAGCTTCGTATGTTTACCTTATTCGACACGTAAATGAAATAAATACTCGCCGCAAATGTGGACTAACTAGTCTTTTGTGCCAGTAGCCATTCAAACCCATTCTATAACTGACATCATCGTTCATTTTAGGAAAGTACCGTCCTAAACGAAAATTCGAGAAATGCACATGTATTTTTCTATGAATCATAACAACAATAACAATACGTTACGTACTAAGGAGTATTTATCGACGACTTTTGAAGGGGGGAGGAAGTGTTAAGGGTTAATGCATTGCGCAGATCAAGCTTTACAGCAGACCGCTTTTTCCATAGTGCTGTGGGACCCATAGAACAGGGAAAATAGGTAACTCCCGGTATATTATATACATCACGAAATAGTTGCGCTTTGATATTCTTTTGTTCCTCTGCAAAGAACCTTCAAGTAATGTGAACAGGTACGGCTACTAAAAGCAAATAAACATAAATAATACCGAGAAAAAGCAAGCAATCATAGAACGAACGAAGAGTACAAAAGAAATGGGGCTTTTCAGTCACAATTTTTACTATTAGGTTTCGCTTCGATGAAAGTATTAGTCTGGTCTGCCGTTTTTCTATGAACACCACCTTGAACTTCCAATTTCGATATTTTGCCACTATAGTTTCTTTTCCTAAATGAAGTTTATTTTGTACAACTAAGACTTAGGTACAGTGAACAGCGCTACAACAAGGAAAACCAAACCATGTGCACGATACTTGAGGCAGGCAAAAAAGTTCCTTCTATAGCGTACGCTGATGATATCGACAAGTCACACGATAGATAACGTGACAGTCCCAGCGGCTTAAACAAAGGACGACAATTGTAGATTTAAAATCATTGTGAGAAACAAAGGGGGGTAGAAGTTCAATTATAGTTGCAACTTTCGAATTATTTAAACAGTGATTTTTTTCATAGCCATGTTTGTTATGATATTTGTTGTATGGAGTGTACTAATAATTAAAAAAACAAATCAAAACTATAATAAGTTAAAAAAATATTCGATATAATTTGTTTTTTGAGAATATTTATGTCATTTCAAAAAAAAACACCAATTTATAATCCCGGCACTGCTCGATAAGTACCGCGCTCTAACTAATTCGCTATTGAATACCGTCTTCTTCCAATAGAAGATCAACAGGATATTCTACATGTACTAACTGGATAAGAAACACATAATGGGAAGTAAGCTGAAGCTTTCTAAAGCATCCGCCTGCCGAAATAATAAACTGATTGTTTAAGAGTTCATTATTGATATTGAAAAAGAGAATTTGGCCTAGTGTGGCCATGTGAACTTAGCGCCAAAGAAAGTGAAATGAGTATGACAGGTCCGTTGTTCCCTGTAAAAAGTTGGACGCATTTCCTAAAATGGTACGATCATAACTAATCAGTGACTAAGTTATGCTCCCAATGGTTAAATATGATGTTGGCAACGAGGTGACTGATTCAGCATAATGTCGCGTTGCTATACGCAAAACTAATATAGAATCTAATTAAACGTCACGTTTAGTTTTTTTTTTTAAGTATACCTTGTTCCCTTGTTAAAATGGTGCTATAACTCCAGTCTTTATTTAAATTAAAAGCACACCTTTAGGTATTTCCTCGTGTAGCCCCATCACCATTGTAGTCCTCGTGAAAAATAGTCTTATTTCCAATCC